TTTTGCAGTAATTTTCATTGTCAACAGCAAAGCCTACAGCGATGTCAGAAACTGATCCACTACTTCCAAAAAGAAGGGAAAGGTTAGCATGCTATCTTACTGCTACCTATATACTGTATATTCATAGCAATGGATACGCCAATGGATCCACCAATCACAGTGTCAACCTGAGGTAAGTTGCCGAGAGTCAACCGTCCTTAGCCTTAGCCTTGTTCTCCTTTAAAGCGAGAGCGTTGTTGACGTGACTGGACTCACTAGAGCGGATGATGTTCCATTAAAAGTGAAGGAAAGCAAGGGAAGACGGATATCTCTGTATGTCCTTTACTTCACAATGTTCCTTGGCTCTGTCAGTAAGTGATGTCTGATTGCTTTGAGTGGGTGGTAGACTAATCCTGTTTATTTTATTTTATTGTACAGTGTTGAGTAAACACATCATTGGTGTATCAAACAATACTGTATAGCTAAATATTTAAGTGATCTATGTACACTGTATTTTAGATCAATGGATATTTTTGTTATAATCTATTTTAACATTGTCATTATTATATTAAATTAATTATGGTCAAAATTTATTATAAATTCTTTTTTAGCATTCTCTGTAGTGATATCTTCAATTTATCCTTATCTACAAAAGGTGAGTATTGATAGTCACTATATCACATTACAGATTATGATAATATCCAGTTACTATATTATGCTCCTTTTGTTGTGTTCTCATTATAAAGGTGTCCTTATTTCCATAAATAAACTCTTATTATAGAGGCTAAACACACATTATGTGTGGCTATTTTTAGACATGATGCAATGCGTTACTATTTTTATATTCTATTTTTAGATTACTAATAATACTTCCTCTACATCATTTCTCGGATACATCGTTGCCATATATAGCCTCGGTCAATTATTATCGTCACCATTGTTTGGACTATGGTCCGATTACCAACACGCCATGGTCCCCCTACAGACTGGGCTCATGATGACTGTTGTATTTAATATTCTTTATTGCTATGCTGTTGTATTCTCTCCTACTGTTGGTAAAATAGTGCTATTGGTATCGAGGGCTTTGATTGGAGCTGGAGCAGGTACTGTACTACTACTGTCTGACATTGTGTGTGTGTTTATGTATTGTAAAGGTGGTTTTAATGAATGCCATTTTTAT